GAAAAATTTATTTCCCTTTCCTAGAAGGATCTAATTTCCTATTAAAGAGAGAATCAACATCAAAATAGGAAACAATCTTAAGTTTCCTAAAGCAAGAAGATTTCTACACCTGCTGCCCTTTCCTGCGAGCAGCCTAACAGGTGTGGAGGCATTTGTGGAGCCAAGAATAATCACAGGGCGACACATGGATTTTTGACAAAAGAAGACAAAACTACCCTTGGAGCATACCGGGATTCCTATGCGCAAGCAGCAAGCAATTATCCCTCAACCAAGTCAAAAGTGCCCAAAATAGGTATCAACTTAAAATCTAATTTATTCATATATTTCCTATTTCATTATTTAGCTAATCAATTAGCTAAATAAATATACTTATTCCATGTTTCCTAAAACCTTTTTTTTTTAAAAACCATAATAATTGACCAATTAAGAGATTAATTGCCTAATTAATCCCCTAATTGGCAAACAAATCACCCCAAAATCATGCTAGGGTCCGGCCAATCCCATAAAAAAATAAACCATCTTATTCTCCACCTTTTCCACCATTTTCCCTTTTTAATTACCCTAATTAAACCTAAATTAAACCCAAAAACCCTAGCTAGGTTGGCCACCTCCTATCCCTATAAATATACTCCCATTCTCACCAAAAAGCCACTTCCAACTCTTGCTAAAAATTCTCTAGAATTCTCAAACACTTTTTCTCTCTAAATTCTAACTTTGGCATCGGAGATTCTTCGGCCAAAACCCCCCATTCATCGTGGGCGCATGAGGCTCCTGGCCTTGACCTAAGGGGTTAATTGTTTTGTAGGTGCAATTTTGTCCAAGATCAAAGAGGAAGAAATTTGCATCCACACACGTGGTGTTAGATTCCAATCTACAACATGCATTGTCCGTGGTTACATTACATTTGACAACGACATAACCCGTGGTAGAAATTGAGACTTTTTATCACATTCAGATTACTAACGTGCACAATGTTCGTGGTGGATCACAATCTATCATAGGCATTCACCGTGATACATGAGCATTTTTCTTCTAGTGGAGTACACTCTTCTGGAGGAGTGCGAGCTATTTCAGCTGAATCTGTGTAGTCCACAGAATGCAAAAAACAGAATATGGCACACTCAGCCTGTAAAAATGACATACAAAAGAAAATAGAGCATACATAAACTCAAGATATATATAAGATAAATGTTCAACGAAATTACGCGAATAGAATGAAAGGCTCATTACCTCTCCAGGGGAAAACTTCTTCCCATTAAAAATATGATGAAATCCATCAGCCACCATGATTACTAATAAGCTCAATAAGAGCACTGTAACGATCTTCCATCCCATTGTTCCTACTTAGAATAAATTAACACTAAGATGTCTAAGCGAACAAAATACAGATATAATGAAACTTAAATTTCAAACAAAGATAGTCACTGAACGCATTCACAGTCCTTTTTACCCTTTAGTTCAGGGTATTGCTCGAATTTATTGATCTTTTTGTCTCTTTTAAGTTTATTTATATTTATGAATCTTGTCATCCAAGCAACCCAATTCAGGGTTTTGATCGAGCAACAGAAAGATTCAAAATTTCTTAGTTTTTTGGTAGCTAAGAAACTCTAGCATGGTACTTGATGAAGACGAGTTCGACAGAAGAGGATGAAGTCATCAGACGAGAGGTAGTTGGAAACAGCAATAACAGAGGAGAATGGATCAAGAAGCACTGGTTGGGAGGGACGAGTGTTGTATTCTTCGGAACAAGTGGGATATGCGTCTTCGCTCACTGAATATGGGGTTTGTGGTAGAGTTTGTTACAATAGTGGGGAACTTGGAAGTTGTGATGTGATGGTGGTGAACTCTCCGTCTTGAAGGCAAAGAGACGGTAGTTGGTGTCCTCTGAGTGCTCGAAGGAAAAGGAAGAACATTGTGGTTGCCTCCTGCTTGAGTAAACTTGGTTGAGGATATTATTGAAAGGTCAATTAATTGCTTAAGAGTACTGGTTTGATTGTGCAAGATGAATCCATATTAGTCTACTGATCAATCTTCTAGACAACTACACTTGCACAAATATAATTTATATGTAAGTTACTCCAATATCTTCAATGAATCAAAGTATTGAAATCAGAAAACAGTAACACAATATAGTGTCTGTTTCACTACAAACATGTTGAAAAATGAGAAAATGAAATTATTTTTGAGATTGAATGAAGTTTTTTAATTGTTTTCTAAGTTATTACCTAAGGTTTAGGGTTTGCTTGTCTTTTGCTGTTCTTTTGTTCACTTATAAATTCCTTCGAGATGGAGAAGGATAAAATATTGTTTTTAGCATTAAAAGTTCCAACAAACATAAAATGTTTTGTTTTAAAGAAAACTAATGAAAAAGGTTCGAAAACTTTGAGTTTTAACGATAAGGATAAAATAAATGGTAAAGTGAATAGTACCAGGATTGACTTTTTAGTGTAAAAATGTGGTTTTTCGTTAAAGTGAACAGTACCGGGAGCTTTTCGTTAAAGTTCCCTTTATTTTATTGTAACAACATAACAAGCAAAACTTTGTTTAAAAGGTCACCAATAAGAAAAATCATTTATCCATAAATGGCAAACCCTAAATCAGAATGGCTAGTAAAGAAAACTGATCTCTGCACATTCTTTTTCTCCATCTACACACCCTTGATAACTTTCAATAACCTAATTGTGATTGAACAAACCAAACTTAAGCCCTAATTGCTTACCAGAAAATATCTCTCTCCACAGATCATAAGAAATTGAAAGCAATAAGTGAGCAGATATTGTTCGTCTGGAAGAATTTCCGATGGGGACGTTTCCTGGTCGACGAGCACACAGCTCCCCAAGAGGTTGGCGCCGGTTGATATTGTTTGTCGGGCTTCTGCTTATTGGCGGGCTGTAAGAGAAGGACAAAGTCAATTCTGAAAGTTGCCTTTGTGGGGCCTTAAGTGTAGGCCTTGAGGCTCATGATCAAAATTAACTTTAAGTGTTCAAGCGTGCCACTACCATCTTTAGCATGACAGATGTAAAACAGAGGTTTAGTTTAATTGTATATGCCCGAAAGACCAAGTTAGCTATGAAAGGTGCCTTTCTAGGGCCTTAGGTGTAGGCCTTGAGGCTTGCAATCAAAACTAACCAAGTACTCGAACATATAGTGGTTTTTCATTGTTGCAGAAGTATTACAACTGTTATATTTTAATCACCCGAGCCCAAAGAGCAGAACGAACCCAGATAGGTGCCTTTGTAGGGCCTTAGGTATAGGCCTTGAGGCTTCCTATCATAATTAATTCTATACTCAAGCGTTTTGTGGCAATCATAATATAACAGAAGTAAAACTCAGAAATAGGCTGATTACTTGCGCCCCAAGTAACTTCGGACTTCTTGTTATCAAGGATTGTCATGGATGGGTTAAGTCCACATAAAGTTCTTTTTTATGCCTTGAGACCAATGACTATTGATTAATAAATCTTATATGCCCGAAAAGTTAGAACTTAGATCTAATCAAGCTAAATCGACCAGATTTCAAGAACCAAGAAACCTTTGAATCATAAACTTGCTAGAAATAACTTGGATACAGATGGAAGTATACATCATATTACTAGATTTATGAATGAAAAGACAGAACAAAGAGGGTCGGGCAAGATTTCACCTTGTCGGGCAAGGCTGATCGTCTTGCAACTTCCTCTCTTTGTGATTTACAAAGGGTTTGAGAGCTAGAAGGGGAGATTGGGAGATGAGTTTACATGAGGGAATCGATACTACAACAAGATTTAGACAAGGTAGCAGAGCTTTTACAAAGACTTTTGGTCAAGGTTGATCCTGAAAAGGATGAAGGCTTGGTGCTGACTACAGCTTCGTATGCAAATATGGCTTGAGCAGAGTTTGTGTATTTGTTTGTTTGATTGAGTGTTCTTATCTCTGATTTCTCTTTCCCTTTTTATAGATGATTTGACTTGGCTGCCTGCAACATCGATCTTGCTCGAATGCTGTTGAAAGATAGTGACTCATCAGCTTTTTACTTGTACTGCCATTGTAAAGTACTTTTGGGCTAATTAGCTGGCTAGTCTACACCACTTGACTTCTAGGTAGGTGGGCAAGTGGCTTAAGTGATCTGTACTTAGTCGGGAAAAAGGCTTCTTCCGCCTTCTAGGCTTCGGCTGAGCCATGGGCTTCCTTCCTTCTAGACCTTCTTTTGGGCTAACTTCCTTTTAACCCTAAAGTTCCAGTTTTAACCCAAACAATGCCCCCTTCAATTAATATTCAGGCTGGTATTCCAGGCACCAATATTGATTGAATAGTCGTATGTGCATGTACGCCTGTTATCCTAACTTATGTCTTTTGGACGAGATTAATACAATCTCGCGTTTCTTGCTCTTCCCATGACATTTCAGCTATCCTCTGATCTTCTTATAAATTCTGGCTCAAATCTTCATTTTTGAACAAATAACTTAAGCCAAAAGCTTCTTATGCTCAACCAACAAATCATCTTTAACATTCCCCTTTATCTCCCTCGGGCGTTTCTGCCTTCTAAGTTTTCTTCTAAAACTAGGGAAATAGGTTCCTCAGGACTCACGTGAAGTTTCCTAAAACGTGGGAAAAAGGATTTTCTTCAAATAACTACTATCTCCAACATCTTTGGTCAAACACCCCGCTATTCCCAACACCTTTGGTCAGGCGGTTTCCTCATTCTGAGCTTGTTTGAACTTTTACAAGTTTGGTCGAGGGATCACCATCCTGGTAGTTGCCCCGATAAGTCGGACTTCACCATCATACCTGGTAGTTCACAACCTGATCACCTGATTGGGTTTTATCCATGAAGACACCAGAAAAATGGTCGAGACACCACTGTAACTAGAAGGAATCGAGCATAGCACATTGGAGTTGAATCTGATGTAAATTTCACCAATTTGTCGAAATGAATAAAACATCATTTTAATAACTTTTATCTTTCTGTTTTCTTGAATGGTTGATGAACAAACACTGCACTCCGGCACCCCGAAGCCTGCTTTATCTTAAATCTTCTTCAATATAACAATCCCTAACATCCCATAATGTAGGACAATACTTTTTTAAGAATTTGACATTGATAGGATGTTTCTGCCAATTTCCTTCGATGTCCACCAAGTAGTATCCTCCCTTGTCTAATACTTGACTAACAATGAAATGACCTTCCCATGTCGCGCTCAATTTCCCAAAGCCCCTTTGCTGAGCTCCTAGAGGGAGGACTGGCTTCCATACTAAATCTCCTTCCTTGAAAGACTTCAACTTTACCTTTTTGTTATAAGCTCGGGCAACAACTCTTTTCCCTTCTTGAATCTGGTTAAAGGCCTCAATTCGGGCTACATCTAAGTCTTTAATCCCTTGAAATATGGCTTTTATGTACTTTTCACTGTGTAACCCAAATTGATTTTGAATTCTGATAGAACTTACATTGATTTCCATGGGAAGAACCGCATCTTGCCCAAAAGTCAAAACATAAGAAGTTGTCCCCGTTCCTGCCCTCTTAGAGGTTCGGTATGCCCACAACGTATTCCCTAGCTTTTCATGCCACTTTTTCGGACTATTTGTCACCATTTTTTTGATAATGTTTATCAAAATCTTGTTGCTGGCCTCTGCTTGGCCATTTGACTGAGGGTAGTAAGGACTGGACTGGACCATCTTTATTTTGTATTTGTTTGCAAATTCTTCAACTTCTTTTGAAATAAAAGATGGCCCATGATCCGTGACTATAGTTTCGGGCACCCCAAACCTATGCAGAATCTTGGTTTCAATAAATTTCTTGACTGCAACTAAGGTTACGGTCTTTACAGCCGAGGCTTCTACCCATTTGGTGAAGTAATCCGTCGCCACAATTATGAAAGTATGCCCCTTGCTAGAAGCTAGATAAATCTGCCCGATGAAGTCCATTGCCCACTCTCTGAAGGGCCAAGGCTTGACCACTGGATTTAAAGGTACTGAAGGCACATGTTGGAGGGGTCTATGCCTTTGACATTCTTCACAGCCTCGAGCATAGGACTTGCAATCTTTTTCTACGTCGGGCCAGAAATACCCATACCTCCTAAGCAACCACCTCATCTTCGTTCCAGCTTGATGTGCCCCGCATACTCCTTCATGTACTTCGGCCATTACTCTCATAGATTCCTCTTGGCCTAGGCATTTCAATAGTAGCCCATCTGGAGTTTTCCTTAACAGGTTCTTTGCCCATAAGACATACTTAGTTGCTTACTGTCTGTTCTTCTTGCTTATGGGTGAAGAAGGATCTTTCAAATGATGAATGATAGGCGATCTCCAGTCTTCCATCTCGGTTTCTAGAACCATTACATCTAGACTGAATCCCCTTTCTAGGATAGAAGGAAGATTTCTTCTGTGAATCTCAACATCTACTCCATATTTCCTTTCCTGGATTGGTACTCCTGAGGCTACTTGTGCCATCTCGTTGGCTGCTAGATTGGATCCCCTGGGGACATGATTAACTGATATATTCGAATCCCAGTAGCTCAACAATTGCGTGGCAGCCAAATAATACCCAGCCATAGTGATATGTCTGCGCTTATATTCTCCATTTAGCTGGTTTATTACTAACTATGAATCACCAAACACCTCCACCTCCATTGCCCCCAGATCTATCAAGATTTCCAAGCCAATTATTAAGGCTTCATATTCTGCCCGATTGTTGGTGCTCCCTTGGTAATCTAAGAGGAATGAGTAATAATGGTGAACACCTTGGGGATTTATGATGACAATCCCAGCTTCAGAAGCCTTCTGAGTGCAAGAACCATCAAAATAGAGCCTCTAAGGAGTAATCCATTGGCCATTTACTCTTTTTATTTCTTGTCGGACCCACTATTCTTTGCCCGAGATGCCCTTGCCTGGTGGGATCCAAACACTAGTCACCTCCAGGGTCCCTTGGATATTGATAATCTCATCTTGAGACTCTTGATGCTTTGTCAAGAAGTTGGCAATTGCTTGGCCCTCGACCGCCCTTTGAGGTACATATTGAAAGCTGAACTCTGATAATGTTAGAATCCACTTCCCAATCCTTCCTGTTAGCATTGGTTTTGACAACATATACTTTATCACATTTGTTTTGGCAATGATGTGCACGTGACAAGGTAACATGTAATGCCTCAACTTACTAGCAGTGAAATACAGAGCTAGGCACAATTTTTCTATTGGGGAGTATTTTGTTTCTACCTCAGTCAGAATTCTACTAAGTTAGTACACCGCATGTTCTTTCCTGCCTTCATTATTTTGAGCTAGTAAACTCCCGATTGACTTCTCTGAAGCAGAGATATATAGTTTTAAGGGTTTTCCCCTTTGAGGTGGCACCAACACTGGTGGGGAAGTCAAATAGGCTTTGATGCTGTCAAAAGCCTTTTGGTGTGGTGGTCCCCACTCAAAATTTTCTTTATCTTTCAGTCTCAACAGAGGAGTCAGCGGCTGGATCTTGCCCGCTAAATTGGCAATGAATCTCCTTAAGAAATTAATTTTGCTTAGCAGCTTCTGAAGTTACACTTTGTTGATGGGCGAAGGTGATTCCATTATTGCCCGAGACATGTTCTTGTCCACTTCTACACCTCTTTGATGAACCAGGAATCCCAAGAAGTTGCCCGTTCTCACTCCAAACGCGCATTTTTTTGGATTCATTTTTAGTTTATGGATCCCCATCCTTGTCAAAGCTTGTCTGAGGTCTGTCAAATGCTGCTCTTCTGTTTTGGATTTCACCACGATGTCATCGATGTACATCTCCATGTTCTGGCCAATCAAATCATGAAAGATGACATTCATTGCCTTTTAATAGGTTGCACTAGCATTCTTGAGCCCGAATGGCATGACTAATATTCATATGCCCCCACATGCCCGGGACACCTAAAAGCTGTTTTGTGTATATCTTCCTGGGCCATCTTTATCTGATTATACCCAGCATTTCCATCTATAAAAGATAAGACTTTGTGTTTTGCCACTGTATCTATGGATAGATCAGCCATGGGCATGAGATATTCATCTTTTGGTGTAGCAGCATTAATATTTCTGTAATCAACATAACATTGTACTGCTTTTGTTATGGCTTTTAAAACGGGTACAATGTTGGCCAACCACTCCACATATTTGGCAGGTCTAATAAATCCAGCTTTTACTAGTCTTTCAATTTCTTCTTTGACCTTTTCTTCTATTTCTTTTGACATCCTTCGTGGTGCTTGTTTAACAGGTTTATATCCCTCCTTAATGGGCATTATGTGTTCCCCCAAGGTTGAATCTAAACATGGCATCTCAGTATAATGCCAAGCAAAACAATCTTTAAATTCTTGCAGAAGACAGATAATCTTTGCCCGATCATTAGTTTTTAACAAGCCACTAATTTGTATAGGTCTTGGATCTCCTTCTGTCCCCAAATCAATGACTTCCAAAGGATCCTGAACTTTTGGTGGTGGCTTGTTAGGCTCTGCGCACAAAAATTCAACCAACTCCGAGCTTTCGGGCAAGTCGTTTGGCCCATCCAAGTCATATATGCACTCGGCCATTCATATGGCCGCATCCAATTCTTCTCCACAAAGCTTTTCTCTACTTTTATACTGGCTGGTTGGAGTTCCTAGCTACCATTCCTGCTCTTCTCTTTCTAAGAGCTCCCTTTCTTGCTTTCTTCCTCTCCCACACACTAACGTTTTTTTATCAGGGACCTGATTGCCATTACCTGATCCTTTCTCTTTTATTTTGTCATTGATGGTGTCGGGATGTTAGGACGATGCAGGGTCTATCCCATTCCTCTCTAGTGAAGAGCATTCCTTGTTTTAAGAGTTTTTTGGGCCGTCACCTTGGTAGGGTGGCCGTTCTTATCAGCTCATGAACATTGCAGAATTCCTACATTGGGATTGTAGAAACTTGCCTCCGCAACATTGGCGGTAAGGAGAAATGGATGTGATTCGGCCTCCACCATCTCCCAAAAGCCTGGCCCCTCCGTCCCTACCTCATGGTAAATAGCAACTTGTTCATATAGAGTGGAGGGTATGGCGAGACTTTGATGGATCCAGTCCCTTCCGAGTAATGCTCCATAGGTGGAAGTGCAATCCACCACAAAGAATGCCAGCATGATTTATTTGGACCCCACTTTCACTTCTAAAGGCAATATCCCATGAGTTTTGGTGATAGTGCCCGAGAAGCTCGAAACCGTGAGGTCTGTGGGAATGAGATCTTCTACACCTCTCCCCATCTTCTTCATTTGCTTAGCTAGTAGTACATTCACAGCCGCTCCACCATCAATCAAAACCCTTTTGAAGGGCACCCCCTCCAAATGAGCTGCAACATATATTGGCTTAAGATGGTTGGCTAGCAATATGTTTGGGCGGCTGAACACCATTTTATCTATATAGATCCTTAATGGACCATCTTTGGATGTCTCGGATGATTCAGCTTTTCCCAACTCTCCATTTCCAGCTACTTTAACACTAACATGGGCCATCATTGGCTCTGCTATCAAATAGTCACCTTCCATAGTGGCGGGCTGATCAAGCTCGGCACCAAGCATGGCGGATAACACATACGTCATGTTGATATGAAAATTGCTAGGCTTTGGAAAGTCTTCTTTCTTGCTTTCAATTTGGCCCATAAACTCATTTAACCAGGCCATCGCATCTTCTGAGAGTAGTGGTTCTGGTGCCCCCTTCTGTTGATGTATGCCCGAATCTAGTATCTGCTTTGGCACTTCACTAAAAGGATCCACCAATGATATAGAAGGGAGTCTCTTTTCGGGCGAAACAGTTCCAAAACAAATAGGTTATGTCTTCCATTCGGGAGTTGGCATCATTATCATATCCTCTTAAGCTCTCCTCAAAATCCTGTACTTCCCAGGGTGTAGGCTTTGTGGTACATGGTTCCCTTTGCCTTCTGTTTTGTTATTAGCCCTATCCACATCTTTTTTACTCCTCCAATGGAACTGACTACTTCCCCCAGATGATGTTTTTTTCGAACTTTTGATTCTTGGAGGCATCAGATGTTGCGTGAGTCTTTAAAGAGTTCATGTAGGCTTTGTGCTGCCTCTGGACCCTTCTAATCATGGAGGCTCCCATTTGTTTAGCGGGTTGCCCATTTTTTCCGACCACGTACCATTTTCTCCCGAGACGGGCATGATTATCCTTTTTGACAGGATTTGTTATCCTATCATTTCTTTTTACTTCTCTTCCTGTATGGCTATATTGAGGATGCCATATCTCCCTCTCTTTTGGACCTTTGGCCTCCTTGTCTTCCGCCTCTTCAGAAGCTTCATGATTTCGAAACACTTCTGATAAAGCTCTAGGTTGGGAATCCCCTCCCAACCGCTGAAAAACACTTCAGGAAGTATCTCTTCCTGCTGTCCGCCTAGCTTTCTCGCGGGCTTCTTTTCTTTCTTCTTCTTCTTTTCTCTTGATCAGCTCATGATCAATGAGGACTCCTGCTGGCAGTATTTCGAGCTCACACTTGCATTGGCATCTACTGCACATAACTATCCTTTTGATTATGGCTGCTTTTGGATGTTCGGGCAATTTGATCACCCTTTGTGTGGATTTATCAGCCAGCCTTTCTTCTTTTGTCTCATTTGCAACCTTTCCTTTTCTCTTCTCGGCCCATGCTAAATTAATCATATTTACTGGGGCCTCTGAAAAGGGATCTGCATGCTTGTCCAC